CACATGTCTTTAGCCAATAGGAGGCTGAGTTCTCAAAATATTTACAATAGAACAAAACAAACCAAGACAATGCACTGTCTATCCTTTCTGAGGTCGTTGGAAAGCACCAATATTCCGTCCCAAAAAAGTCATATCAAGCATAAATTTTTAATGGGTTCATTTCGATCTATCACAGAACAAAGCATGCACTTTTATAATTTATTAAAATCGATAAATTTCTTGCTATTAAATATGTTAATCATACACTGGAATTGCCTAAATTTTAAGGTAAGATTTATCCTGCTTATCAGGTAGAAATAAGAATCAGAAAATATGATTAAAATCTGATTAACTCGAACGTTTCGCTTTCTTTACAAAACAGAAGCCTGTATGACTATTTTCCGGTGCACAACATCAAGCTCCTTGTTCAAGATACTCTTTTTAATTTTAATATTTTGCACCGCCACACATGCATATTTACCGGCATACAATTCATCTCGCTTTTACTTTGAAAATTAAACTTCAATTCATTTATTTTATTTGTTTATCCTTTTTTTTATTGATAAAAAAGTATATTATTTTTGATATTGAAATAATGTAAATTGCATGTCCGAATAAAAAATATGATAATTTCTTTCGTAGTCTCAACTGCACAAATTCGAGCATCAAACATCAAAAAATTCATTGGTGCTTTTGGGGCAAGGGGGGGAGAAAAATAAAATACTCCGATATATCAGTCTGTGGATATATCACACTCTTGTGACTTGTGCACTTGATCGCGTAAAAATACATGACGAGTAATCTGGATTAACCTGGATTACTCCAACTCGTGCAGACTAAAGTAGCTCTGGCTAAATTGTTAAGTTTGTTTTATGATTGATTTGAATAATTGTGGTTATGCTATATATTTTTATCTTTCAATCAATCATGAACTTATAATAAACTTAATTCTAATAATATATTTAATAAGTCAGAATGGGAAATAACGAAGACAGCAACGATTTAGACAAATATATTTATTTAGACTTTAACGGAAAATTATCCAGTGATGTGTTCCAAAATGAAGTTTTTCTTCGAATTGCAAACTTACATAAAAAGGACCCTCTTATTCAAGTAAACGATACTCTCTTTAAAGGTAACGACTTTTATTGCTACTTAAATTTCCATCTTTTAACTTTTAAATTTAAGGTACATATGATCAGTCTATTGGTACAAATTTATTTTTTGAGGAGACTGATGTTAACTCTCACACTGGCAATGCTTTCGAAAAGCAAACATCCATATGTTTGAAATATTTACAGAGCTCGACAAAGTTACTCGACCTTCAGCAGGTGAAATTTCCTCAAAAGAAAGCCAACATACAAAATGAAATAAAAAACATAAATTACAATCTGAATTGGGATTACAACGAACTTTTACGTAAATTAGAGAATGGAACACTGCAAATAGAGGATATTTCAGCAGGAGAACTACCGCCCGAAGCACCACCTCAAAAGATGGAAGTAGTAGAAGAAGAAGAATGTGAAGAGAATTATGAGCCTCAAAATATTGAAATTATTGTCGAGGCTGAAACTGAACCTGAACTTGACGAGATTGAAGCTGCACTGGAAGGTATTAAGCCAATAAATATATTAGAGAAGGAATACGAACAACTAAATGTATTGGCAAGAAGACCAGTAAAGAGGGCAGTATCTCCCGAATTAGTAGCAGAATGTGATGAAAAATATAAGGAAGTTTTCGAGTATCATAATATCGAACGTCAAGTAAATTTGTTTGTTATTAAAACCATTTAAGACTATATTACCTGTTATTTTAGATTTTACAACCAAGGGATGGATTTAGGTTAGAAGTTGTTCATGTCGATGAAGATACTTTGTCGAACTGCATAGACATAGATAGATGTATTCTTCATGGTCTCATTCCAGAATCTTCCGATTTACCTCGAGTATTAACTAAGTTAGAAAAAGAAAAGTTACTTACCTTAGAAAATTTTGATAATTTATCATTGGCTGGTCGATATTATGTCCTTCAAAATATTGTTAGTGACTTGCAGAAATACGTAAAGAATGCAACTCCAAAGGAATTGCAGGATAGGGATGAATACGGTCGCACTGTACTGCAGACTTTGAAAATATATGAGAAACTGACAGCAGTTGTTAAAAATCGTTTGCAAGAAATAAAATCAAGTTTAGAAACTGAGACAGTTTGAAATCGAAGAATCTCAAAATTGTCATGCAATTTATTTTTTTATGTAATTTTTTTATATTTATTAGTCATTTTTTTACAATTATGTAAGGTAAGAAAAAAAAAAGTGAATTAAAAAAATTTATTTTAAATAAGCGACAAATATTTTCAACTTGTTTTTAAAACCATAAAAATAATAAAAATATCAATATAAAAATGTTTTGTTAGTCTGACTCTTCAGTTTCGTCGACTGGAAATGCTTCCATCTCTGGAGCTGTCAGTTTTGCAGTTTTTAAATAATTGGATTTCAGTAATTCTTTTGCGGTTCTTCGTTTGCATGGATCATAACTCAACATATTCTGAAACAAATATCACAAAAATATATAATAATAACGATGCCATTAATTTCTTATAGCTGTTTTACATTGACAATTTATTCATGAATAAATTGACGAAGTTCTTCATGAATTAATTCACGAATTTATTGGTAAACAGTGCGGTTTTACACTGCTACGGACTTTGTCAAGTTTTTTGACCTATGAATCAGTTCTACCAATGAATCAAAGAAGTAAATAAATTTCGAAAAAGTCACCTTCCCTCTTTCATCACGAAGAAATTGACGAAAATTAGAACATGCTCTAATTCGTCAAGAACTTGATGAATAAATTCATGAAGTTATTTGACTGCAGATTTGGTGCATTATTATTGTTTAAGTGACTTCATGAATTAATTGATCAATAAATTGTCAATGTAAAACAGCTATTATAAATATAAAAAAAAAAAAATATGGTTGCTGTAAAATTAAGGTAGAATATTTACCAGTAAAAAGTCCTCTTCTTCTTGGTTATGAAAATTTATCACATCTTTCAAATTAACAGGCTGCCAGGTTGGAAATGACGGTTTGTAATCTGGGAATTGCGAAACACCCTCCCATGTTTCTTCAGTGGGAGTCCCAAAAATTTTAAAAATCTTGTACAGTTGATCTATTTCTGAATCGCCAGGAAATATTGCTCTTTTAATCAACTAAAACAATTAATTTATAATTTATTTATTTAATAATTAGTTTATACAGGGTGTGACTTCAAATGGGAGTCAGTTTTTTTTTAGAGATAATAGTTAAGTGTTTCCCATTTCCTCATTTGAAATTATATGTTTTTTAATCAAATAAAGTAATCGAGTTACAATTTCTTTTTTAAATTGCACTTAAACTTTAAAATATTATCACTGGGCATTTCCAGTTCCTTTTAAAATCAATTATATCAAATTAATAAAGTGGCAGAAACTGAAATACTACAAAATAATTTTGTGTTTTTGTATGACTACAACATATTTTAAAGTCAATCATATTTTTTTTTGTCAATGCGGACCAAGTACTGAACCCAGACCAGTCTGTAACTGAACATAAAAAAAATTCCGTCTAAAAAATTCATATTTTTATGATTTATTACGTTTTAACACATTACGAACTTTTTAAGTAAAATTAATTTATGTTTTAAATTATTTTGCTGTTTTATAAGTTGTACAATAAAAAATAAATAAAAATACTTATAAGTTTTTAATGAAAAAGATTTCCAATTTTTTTAAAAGCATCATGTTAGTTTTAAACTAGACTGTAAGTATCTGTTTTGGTTTAGGTAAATTGTATATCCACAGAGATTTTTGGCTTTTTGGCTTTCAAATATCACTAGAAATGAAAACATTTCTATGCGCATAAAAAAAAGTAGGCTTAACTTTTGGCTGCACAAGATGTTAAAAAAATTTGAAAAATGTCATATTTTTCTTCCTACTTAATTATGTATATTTTCAAGAGTTGATTTTAGGCGAAAATGGAAGAGGAAAAAATGTCTGTAATTAAATGTTTTACAAAATATGACTATTTACAAATCGAATGAATCATGATTATTGTAAAAATCGAAAAAATTGCCAAAAGTGGGGTTAAAAAACCTTACTTTTTAGGGGTCTTTAAATTGGTCCTTCATACTTGGCTCAAGCAAACTTCATGTTATATAGAATTATCACACCAAATTTCATCAAAATCGGTTTGATAGATTTTGCATATTTTGCAATCCAGATTTTGAAAAAAAAATTCAAATTTTCAAAATTTTGCACAGCAAAAACCAAGGCCCTTATATACTTCTGTAAATTAGGAGAGCTCTGGCGCTTGTTTAAACATGCTCATAGAAAAATTTTCATTACTAATGATATTTGAAAGCCAAAAAGCCAAAAATCTCCATGGATATACGATTCACCTAAATATGGACTTTTTAAAAACAGATACTGTCTGGACTATTTGTATTTTAGTTTTTACTGGAATCAATAATGGTTTAATTAATAGTAAAATTAGCATGTGATGTCTTGTAGTGCCAAGTGTGCTTGGGTGTCTTCACTTAAATTTCTGTGATTTGAAAAAACAAATATTTAAAAAGTAGTAAAATATACCATTAACTGATCCGTGTGGAAAAAGGGTTTATTTAACTAATTTTTAAATTTTTTACAGGTTGCAAAATACCCAAAATATATTAAAAAAAGAAATATGTAAATCAAGAATCAGATTTGACAATTATGTTTGCTGTAACTCTCAATTGGGATACACTCATGGTTATGGGACTGTTGTTTGACGAAAATTATAAATAAAAATTAAAAAAAAGTCGATATGCTTCGGAGTGTCAAAGGTAGCCATATATATGGACCCCCCCCCCAGTTACGCCCTATATAGTGTGGCTCAAATTTCTTTTTGGGCAGGTAGACATTTAAATACCTGCCTAGATAGTCTTAATCGGCAATTTTGTCAGTTTACAATGAAGAATTTTTTTTATACAAGTTTAAAAATTTAAGACAGTGGAAATGCCTGAAGATGAAAAATTAGATAAAAGGCAACCTGCCGGAAAATTTCATTTCTTTTAGAACTGCATAATTTGTAAATATAATCGACTACAACAAAGTGGTAAAAAAATTATTTCTTTAATACCACAAATGAATGCTTAAAATTATGTAAAAATGTAAATTTGATCATGTCATCAAGAACGCATTATGAACTCATATAGTGCGATCGAAAATATAACCTGCTTTACGTCTTTCTGTCGTCCAGTCTACAATTTTCCATGAAGACGAGGCAGAACCTAATCTAAAGCACATGCACAGAGCTTTGAAGCAAAGTGAATATGGCTGTCTTTAGACTTGTTATTTACTAGGTCTACCAGGCAGTCCCGTCCGTCATTAATCTGTCCGTTCTCTCTAAACTCTCAATCATACTAAATGACATCACAAATTCTACTACTTTAATGATAGTTAACGGTTATCTTTACGTCTTAACTGACATTAAAATTCGAATATTTATTATGGCAGTAAATTTTTTTTACACCTTAAAGTTTAACGTATATTTTTTTTAGTTTTAATTTCTATATCAATATATAATAAGCTCTGGAGAAGTTTACAGTTGTGCTGTCAGTAATTAACTAATATTTTATCATCTTCAAGCATTTCCAATGTCTCCTACACATTTAAACTGAAATAGAAATTTAATAAATAAAAAACTCCATATCTCATAAAAAATATTCTGAATTATAAATTGATTAAAATAGAGATATTGAGGTATTTAGTGCTGTTGATTAAGGCTAGTTTATTTTTTAATAAAAAATTTTTTTGTGATTTTCGAAAATATGTTACTTGCTGGAACAATTACATCTAGTAAGCTACTGTAAGAGAACATAATGTAATTAAATTTATCTCACCATTTCTACCATAATACACCCCAAACTCCAAATATCAATCCCAGTACAATACAATTTACTTCCCAGAAGTAATTCTGGCGCTCTGTACCACATTGTTACCACTTCATGGGTATATGTCCTCGTGGGAAGTGAAAAAGATCTTGACAGGCCAAAATCAGCCAATTTAATGTGACCCTCCTTATCGACAAGCAAATTTTGAGGTTTTAAATCTCGATGTAGAATTCTATGTGAATGCATATACGCTAAGGCTTCTGTAAGTTGTTTCATGTAACTCTAAAAATAAGTATGATATATCTTTTTATTACAATAAAGAGGCCAATCATACTCTAAGTAGTTCTTTTTCCATCTGCTGCCTCGAATTATCAAGGTACCTTTTCAAATCCAAATCCAAGTATTCAAAAACTAAATATAATTTATCGGTAGATTGCATAACGTCTAGAAGTTCAACGATCGATGAATGTCTGAGGCCTTTTAATAGAGCAATTTCTCTAATGGCTGTAGCTGGCACACCCTCCGAGTCACCTTTGTTGTAAAATCTAAATAAATAAAGATTTTGTTCAAACGAGGATAACACTAAAATGATTTCCATACACATAGGCAAGTTGCAGAAAATATTTAACCTTTTTATGAACATTGTAATATTTACTTATGTATTCATCGAGTACTAAAATTCATTGTGTTTGGGGAACCACTGGCTTGCTAATGGAAATCGTTGAAAGGAAAAGCTTCAAATTAGTAAAATGGTTACTTACTCTGCAGTTAGTGATGAGTGCGAGGGGAGTTATAAGCTGAATCATGTGGTGCTACGACTAAATTAACGTATGCACCAACAAAATTCAGCTCATAACTCCACTAAATTAGTATGTTAGGCAACAACCCAGTTTCTTCTTTAAAATGACCCAGCCCCAGCATATTAGAGATATTGAAGACACAGGCATATATGAATGATTACAATGAAAAGTTAAAGAATTAATCATTTACAAAGATTTAAATATATTTTTAACGAGAAAATACTTACTTTTCTAATTTAATTCTCTTGAGAGCCACATTTTTACCAGTTAACTTGTTCTTTGCTTTATAAACCACACCGTAAGTACCTTCCCCAGCTTTAGCGAGTTTTATAAATCGATCCAACTTGTCCATTTCCTTCGCCTTTTGGTTATAAAGAACAGAAAGATATTTCGTTTATTTAGCGGGAAAATTGCATCTCGTTTTCTGGATGCCATTTTTGTTTATTGCAATTTGCGCAGGCGTCTATGGTTACGTGATCAATAACTCGGCGTACCAACGTATGACACAAAACTAGTTTAAAATACCTCACTTCAAGAATATTTTATCTATGATATAATTTAAAAACTAAAATCATATTCTAATTAACACCATCTATAAATTTATTCGTATGTATTATATTTTATCTAGATTTGATATTAATTTTTTTTTTAAATTATTTTATTGTTATATGTTGGTATGCAATCCCCTCCAGCGTTTTCGCCATTTTTGCTTCATTTTGCGTCGTACAAGTAAGAAGGTGGATGGCGTCCCTTTGTTAAAGAAAAAGTGATTGTGTTTCCCGTTAATTTTTGAAAAATTTTTTCGCAGAGTGTGTGTAAAACAAACAATTTATCGAGGGGAAGGTTTTAAAGAAGGTGAGTACTACGTATGGTTTGTATATTGATAAAATCTTGTAAATTATCTTGTTGCCGCTGCCGCCATTATGGCGTCAGTTCCAAGTCGGCATCTTTGATAATGGCAAGCCTTGAATAATTGCTTGTTTTGCAGAACCGACGATGGCGTCGGAACAATTTTCGTTATGTTGGGACAATTTCCACAAGAATATGAGTTCGGGAATGAACTCATTGCTGGAAAATGAAGATTTGGTGGATGTAACGCTAGCCGTCGAGGGCAAGTGCCTGAAAGCTCATAAGATGGTTTTGTCAGTGTGTAGTCCTTATTTCAAAGAACTTTTTAAGTCTAATCCGTGTCAGCATCCTATCGTATTTATGAAGGACGTTAGTTACGTAGCTTTAAGTGATTTATTACAATTTATGTACCAAGGAGAAGTACAAGTTAGTCAAGAAAATTTAACTACCTTTATTAAGACTGCAGAGGCCTTGCAAATTAAAGGACTCACCGGTGACGGCAATGTAAGTATTCAATTTTTGTTAAAAAGTGCATAACTGCATAATGGTCCACCTTTTACAAATTCTATTTTCTATCTTTTTCTATTAGATGCGTATGTACGTGACGCGGCTTTTGTTCCCTCTCCAGAGTTGCTTTTGTGTATTTTCTGCCCTCCAATCATGAGCTTGCGACGCGGCGTACTGTTTGGCCTGCTTCATAAATCATTAAATTGGTGTAGTGTATTTTAATGCCCTTTTAGGTCGATTCTTTTGCCCCCGATTTAAATTAAATTAAATTTAAATTTGTCTCAAAAATTATATGCATAATGAAGTGACAGACAGATTTAATTGAGGATTAAACTTTGCAGATGAAAAAAATAGCCATTAATTTCTCTGTTGTACCCTCGAGTAAGAAATAATTCTTCTCAAGGGTTAATCAACTGCAGATTTTCCAAAATAAAAAAATATTAAATTTTGCTTAATGTGTACTATGTTTATATTATGCTAGTTATGATGTGAAAATTAGTCATTTTTAAAATGAAGCATGGCATGCATCCATAATTTTTAGATGATGAACCTCTACATTCTAAAGCTTTCATGCTGAAATAATTTCAAACCATTTGTGGAAGTTCCAAATGAAATTAAGTTGATAAATACGACAAAAACCAGTACACACATTTTGGTTACATTTTTGTTACAAATATTAATGGTGTAAAATTTTGTAAGGATAATTACTTACCACTTTCTTTTCTATTTCATATAAAAAGATGTGTTTGACATTTTCTATTAAAAAATCAGACCGTATTTTACTTTTTTGTCTGTTTAAAATAGACATTCATTTGAATGGTGTGTTCAAAAAAGATTTTAGGGTGGTGTTCTGGTCCTTAATGGGCTATGCTAAATATGTGCAAATTTTGTTGAGATGACTGGAACTTTTAATTTATATTTTGCAAATTTTGTTTGAAATTTTTTGCTGAAAGTTTACGATTCGTCAAAAAAACATTATAGGTCACATACACTTTAATTTGCATCAACTGCCCTCATATAAGGGATATTTGTAAAATAGTGTCAAACTGGTACAGAAGATAGGAAATGTCATTTTAAGTAAACAAATTTCTGAATATGGACCGAAAACTGTTCGTTAAAGGGTGATTACAGATTTTTTAAAATTACTTCAAATTGGTTGATCAGATCCAAATGAAACTCGATGTTTTTAGATTATCGACTACAGAGGGTAAATAAGAATTTTTTTATCCATAAATAATTGTCTAACATTTTCAGTAAAAGAAAATGAATTTTTCTGAAAGAGCATCTTCAAAGTCACAAAAAAGACATTCAATCAATCTTGATGAATTGCATTGCTTCTGAGAAAGTTTGCATTTTTATTCATTTTGATGGCAAATTACGAAAATCGAATGTGCAGTGGATTGCTTTGAAACTGCTGATACATTATCAACTGAAATAAATAAAAAATAATCAGAACATTGATGTTAAAATCTATTCTTTCCAAGATATGAGTATATTATTATCATTTATTCACATTAAAATACATAATAAAATGCTTACACAAGTAATAAAGGTAAAATTACAAACACACATATAAGTAATTTAAAACTTTTCAGTTTCTTTTTAAAAGTAGAGTTGCTACAGTGGAAATTATTTTGTGTCTAAACAACTATTTTGAACTTATTTTAAAAAATGGTTTTTGACTGCCCATTTATATCACCCTGTAACATATTTGCTGTGTTATCAAACCTATGTTCTTAGGAAACTTTTTACTGAATTAAACTTTTTCTTTTTTTCTCTACTACAGTCTACATGCTGTGTAATTTTAGTATATAACATTGGGATGTGATGAATTTATTACTGATTTTCTTAGGAAAATGTGAAGTTTGATTAATAGAGGACGTAATTCTGATCCCAATAGTACCTAGTCCATATTTGAGAAAATTAACTATTATGTTTTATTTTAATCAACAAATTTTAGTAAATAATTATGTTATTAAATAATGTGGAGAAAAAAATTTTCAAGAATTTGGTAGAGGCATTTATTTATCATTTTTAGGGCTCCGCCGACACCGACCCCATCGAAACCCCCCAGGAGAAACCTGTGCACCAAATCGAGGAGTACAAACCCATGCCTCGACCTAAAAAGCAACAACCGGCCACGGTAACCACACAGTCAACCCCTGTAAAACGCCCCCGCCTTAGTGTCTCATCGACAGATTCCCAACCACTGCCTCCTGCAGTAGCGAAATCAGAGCCGGTTGCCTCTGTACCTTCCGGGGGTAGTAGCGAACCTGTACAGTTTAAAATGGAACCCTATGACCAAACACAGTCTTTGATAGATGAAACTGGTGATGAAAATTTCGGTGATGATAACTTGGACGATGCGAATGTTGATGACACGGAGGACTATTCTATGATGGAAGGTGGTACGGGTGAGGAGGAACCACAGGCCGGAACGAGTACGGACGGAGCTGGAGAAGGACAAGGTAGGTGGTTTTGTTTTGGTTATATTCTGTTTCTTGCGGCTGCTATAACTAGGTTTAAACACATTTCGTGGGCACATTTTTCGACGCTTAAAAGCAATATTAAGTAAATTGTCACGGCACGTAATGAACTTCATAATGCCATAGTTTAGTGTAATTTGATAAATGTAGGGCAAAATAAATTTCTTTTTTGTAATTTTTTCTCAGGTGTTAAGTTGAAGGTATAATTCAAATCCACACGTTGGTTGACCGCAGATATCTGTTTTTTTTTTAAATTTAAAAAAAAAATAATCAATCATTTACCGACTTACCTTTTTTAAAAAGTAACTGATGTGTGTATTTGTTTTTATACAAATAGATAAATAGTTCCAGGGAGATACTTCAATTAATTTAACTAGTTTGTTACAAGTTAAAGTTTTTCTGTCATTTTAAGAAAAAAATATTTAGTGCCTCAGATTTAGATTGAAATGTTTGTGAAAATTGAGAAATAACATGAAAATGTTTTATAGTTGTAGGTTTTTTGGTACGACAAATCTAAATAGAAACGTGTATTGATAACTATCATCGCAATTTATGCCCTGCAATGTGTTTTTTTTGTAGTATGTTAAATTTAGTCTTTTATAGTAGTAAGTGGTTTTAATTCACTGTGTTTTACAAGTGTTTTTTTTATATAGTTATAGCTCCCACAGAAACATTTTCGGCAAAATTTTAAATAATTCATGTTTTTTTTTTTACAAAAAATTACTAATAAGTAATATGCCTTTGAACTATTTAAGGTTTTGCATTTATTCTTTTTATTATTATTTTGAATGTATGTGCGATTCTACGACATTAGTAGGCAATAATTTTGAATATTAGTTTTAAGAATTCTTTTAAATGTTTGTTGTTTTGATTTGCGTCTATAACAGTTGTTATAAACGTTGAATAATTTTATGTATTACGTGAGTGCATCCCAAAAATGTTTATTTTTTTCATTAATGTTTGTCTGAATTAATATTTCTTAATTCAGTCTATTTAATGGATAAATATATGTTTGCAGAAATTTTTACCATGAATTTATTAAATTGGTGGTATCTGCATTTACTAATGTGTGATGTTTAGTTTGTTTCGTTATTTTGACTTTTTTTATTTGTCAATTTTTACCACACTGAAACAAATAGGCAATTAAATCAGTTAAAAATATTCAACTGTTTAAGGCAAGAAGTTACTCATTTTAAGAGTTCAATATTTTTAAAATATTTAATTTCTTTTTTTTTCAGTGGTAAAACACCCAATAAAATAAAGTCTTAATTTATTTAAAAAACATACAGATGTGTCAGTGAAAAGTGAATTGTGATCACCAAATTCTTAAAGTAGTGTATTTGTTTAATCGTTCAGTGCATATTGTGTCACTATTTAGTTTTTTTTAAATGCGTGTCATTAAATTCTTTATTTCAGATTCTTACAAATAACTGAAATATGTTTGGCAGCTTCTTTGGTTAAATATATTTTTATTTAACTATAGCTGTCGTCCTTTACAGTTATTTGAAGTTAATAGGTATGTTGTAAGTTTCTTTCACAAACAATTCACTTGTTTGCCTAATGACTAATTACACTTTGTTCCTTTTTCTTCAAGTATTTTTATTTGTTAATTCCAATTATGTTTTGTAGTTGGAGCATTTTAATATGTGGTAGTATTACTCTGCTGATATGACACTAACTAGCAATTTCTTTGTTTTAAAGATATTGCTGCAGATGTATCACTTTTTATTTCTGTTTCAGGTGATAGCAATGTCTTTGTTTAAAGATGTTGTTTTATTATTTGCTTTTTTATATCTAGCATCAGTTTTAAATTGGTTTTGAAACCAATAAATTTACTGCTGTTACAATTTTCTGCAAATTTTCTTGTGTAGTGATTCTATTTTTATAAAAAAGTGCAACATTACAATTTCTTTGTTTAAAAGATATTGTTGATAAATAATTGTGTCTAAAATTAAACTAGTACATGTATTCAATGGTAAGTTCCATTTCTACAAATTAATAACTTGTGTACAAATTGTTTTTGTCATGCCATATGTGATCGCAGTTTTTTAAAATTCTTTAAAATAAAATATAAATTGATCTATAATTTTTTAAATATGCAGTTTCGTTTTGGTTCGTGTTCAAATTTTTAAGGTTCATGAAGCTATTGGAAAATGAGTACTTTCTTATTTTTCTTTTATCTACTTTGTAAAATGATTGGAAGATTGTATATAAAGTAACAGAAAACAAAGTTTTGGCAAATTTTTATTCTGCAAAGCTACTTTCTTTTGCGGATTGAATTTTTCATGACTGTTTTATCTTACAAAAACAATAGCTTTTTGAATTTAGTCCTTTACATACATAACGTTGTTTTCATCTGAGCCATCTAATATTTTCTTTTAAAACTTATATGGCTGTTGTACCTTTTATAACTCTTTCAGTGTGGTTCATAATATCCAGTGGAAAAAAAGTATCACTGAATTTTACAAAAGTAGGGATAGACATACACTATATTGGCAATTGAAGTCATTTTGAACTTTAATGTCATTTGAGTGTATTTCTAAAAACACGCCGTATGTCTAAAATTAATACTTTGATATTTAAGGCTGATTTATAAACTTTGTTCTCATTGCCTAAGAAATGTACCTGCAGTCTATTGAATGAACAGTGATTAACAAATAGTTGTGTAGGTACATGTCTTATGTGATATCAGCTGAAAAAGTTTATAAATTGGTCTTTTATTCTGTGATTCAAGTAATTAAGATGCTATACTTTAAATCAACCTTTTACTTTTTAATATACTAAAATATAAATTTCATACCATAGTGTCGTAAAATCGCGTCGTTCAAATCAGGTTTGCTGACCTTATTGATTTTTCATGGCCAGAAGAAAAATACATACTTCAGATGGGAATGTTGAAGAAATTACCACAAAATGGAATAGTAGTAGATGGTTTCACTTACCATCAAAATACAAGGAAAAAAAATTCGAATATGAGGTAAGTTCGCGAGGTCAAACCAGTTGAAAAAGAAATACAATTTTAATGTCTCATAAGATTATTTCAAATTGTTGCTATCTTTGAGGTCGTTGATACTTCTGCTAAATTGTGTGGTTACATTGGCAAGATCTTTTTGAATTGTCTAACTACGTACCCATATAAAAAAACTGAAACATCTATTTTTTAAGGTTATATTTCTGTTGGTGATTTTTTTTTGTAATAAATTTAATTTGATTAAAATAACATATATACTGTAAGTTACAACAAAAAAAAAAAAAAGAAAACAGACCATATGCAAATGAGTAAGGCAGATGTAACATTTGTAGATACTTAGTTTGTTCTGAATATAAGAGGTTAATATGCAAAGCTAGAGCTGTACTTCCAGTAGGAGGTACTATTGGTGATTTTGTATTGAGAAAAGAGCATAATCATCCACCTCATCATGAGGCATGTATTAGGGATGATTTCATAAAGGAGATAAAGTTTTCTATCGTTCATCAACCTGACAGGCCTCTGAAGCAAATTTATGAAGATGTGGCGACCTTGTAAGTATAAATTTTAAAACTATCAGTAAAAGAAAATACCAATAAAAGGAAATTTACGTAAGGGAATTTAATTTCAGTCCCATAATTGCAATTGCAGATATATTAGGATATTGAAAAGCCTAATGCCATAAAGTAAAGCTAAAAGTTTTTATTTTATACATTGTTATAGTTTATAGATAGAAGTGCTCCACCCCAGAGCCATTTGTAAGCCATAAAAATGATGGGCTGGCAGGTATAAAGTGATGCCAGTAAATTGCAAGTCTGTACCTTTTAGCGCTTGTTGAGTAGAGTCGCATTAATCCAAGCAAGTTATATCAATAAAAAATGAAGCATGTTGAGCAAAGAGCAATTATTGCTTATATATTTATCTATTATACGATAACTGCAGATTCTGTTAATGTGTCTACCAACTCTTGATGAACTCGAGTTGTGGCCAACTGCTTTTTATTAGCTTGTTCGACGCATTCCAATTTCACATTGACTTACGACTTGCTGGAACTAATTTGTATTTGGTAACCATACGGTAACAGGTACAGACTTTGAAAATGTATATTTTATTATCTTGTATTTTTACCTTATTTTTTAAAGTTTTAAACTAAATTAGATTAAAAAGTTTTCAGTGTTATTCAATATAAAAAGATCCAGGTATGTAAAAGGATTCTTAATTGACATTGCAGGAAATGACTCCATGGGCCGTATGGCCGAACTAGAATTGAATTACACCAGTAATTTCTAGTAAATAATATGTAGTAACTAATAATTATTTAAAAAAATGAGTGATATGTCTACATATTAATACAGAAACACATACCTGACATTGAAATTATTAATGTGTAATCTCAATGAAATATCACAGAATTTATTGTAAAAATAGACGCAAAACAAAGATCTTACAAGTAGTCTTGTGACTGGAATTAATAAATACTAATGGTACAAAATTATACATAAAAAAATGTTTGAAAGATGTGAAGTTTTGTAATAATATTCAATATCAAAAGCTGACAATAATATGCCTAGATTAACGTGAATTATTTTGCCAAACTAATATTTGACGATTTTACTAAATTTCTTAATACCTTTTAAATAGATTTAAGAGCTAATAAAGCATATATTTTATAATGAAATTTAGTGAATACGGCAAATATTTGTTAGGTAAAAAAAATAATTCATATAAGTTTTGTCATATTGTCAATAGTTGACATTGTTTCAAACATTTCATTTTTTTTCAAGTTGTATTTTGTATATAATTTGGTTCTATTATTTTTTATTAATTCCATTTGTAAGGATACCTGATGAAAATATCCAAATAAAATGTGGAAACAGTAAAATCTTTTTGTAGTGGCTATTTTTACATGTTGGTCTTTGAATAAAAATTCAAGATTTATTTTTACACGATAACATATAACAATTTCAATATGTCAAGTACATACATATGTGTTTTTGTAATAACATTTAGTCAT